TGTTTATCAGATTGTAAAAGTTGGTAGTTTTTTGCTGGTTTTTTTGTATAATTTTGAAAGTTTTTTCAGATTTTTATTGTAAATTGTGCTTTTTGGCATTTGAAAATGCTCTAATTTGTTACATATCATTGATTTAAGGTATTTTGGATTATCAATGAAAAATCTATACTTGGAGATTTGTGAAATTAAGCGCTCTTTGTTTGTTACTAATAATTAGCTCATCACTGATTTTAAACAACAAAATAGTTGTTAATGGCCGTTTAACTTTTTTTTCGGTGCGTACATTTAAATAGCAAAATTTATTTCTTGATCCGGATAACTTAGTTAAAATTTAAAAATAAATAAGATTAAACAATGCTGTCAAGAAAGCATAAGCGAAATAATTCAGACCAAAGTAATTGATATTATTATTAATTATTATTAAGTTCCATTTTTTTATTTAAATTCTTTTTCTTTCTCCATTTTTTAGCAAATTAGTTTTGAGTTTTTTAATTAGAATTCAAAATGCTTTTCCGGATTTGTTTTCAAAAATTAAATTTTTCGGTTTTTTAATTTTTTTAGTTTCCTTTTTTGGCTTTTTTACATTTAGAGTAGACTATATTTAAAATTTATTTGATAAAAAAAAATTGTAACTAAACTAAATTATATTTTAATAAATTAAAAGTGTAATTTTTATCAAATTAAATAAATTAACTCAATTTTTAATTACACACTAACTGACTATTTATGACAAACTAAAACCTTAGGGGTCACCTGGTCTATGATATTCAGATATCTGATATAGCAAATTCACACACAAATACTTGTAAAAAATCTAAATGGCTATTGCTATTATAATATTGTATTATCATAATATTAAATGCATTATTAATTTAAATCTTTAAATGTGAAGTAAACCCTCTAGCTATGCTTTTTAAATTAGTCTAGTTCGTCATAATGGACATGAATGTCAATAATTAATAGTCAAGATAGTGAAGTTTCGCCAAGTCTGAATAATATTTTCTATTTCTTATAAATAAAATAAATTGAAAAACTTCACTTATGTACGTACAAACAGTTAGGGGTAATGCAAATCAGGGAAAATCAACACCGACGACGGCATCCGGTTCTACTGCTGCTACTGAGCCAACGAGTCCGACTGGTAGAATCATTTCTAGCCCTCTCCCTCTTGAAGATGTTAGTGCAAATGATAACTATTGTGTTTGTGTGTGTGCGTGTTTGTGTGTGTGTGCGTGTTTGTGTGTGTGTATGTGTGTGCCTTTTGTATTTCTTCACCTATGTATGCATTTGTGGATTTGTGTAATTGTCATATTTAGTTTGGAAAATAGGCCTGAATTGACATATTTATGTGTATGTGTTGTTCTTTACTTGTAGTAGATGTGTGTATGTTTGTTTATTTGTGTGTGTGTGTGTGTATTTGTGTGTGAGCGTTGCTATTGCTCTTCAACCTTTATATTATGTTTAGTAATGTTGCATGCTACTTAATGGAAGGTGAGTGAATGAATAAGTGAATAAATGAATGAATGAATGAATGAATGAATGAATGAATGAATGAATGAATGAATGAATGAATGAATGAACGAAATAATGTTTGAGTGTTTTGTAGTGAATGCATTGCATATTATATAATCATAATCCAATTTTAATTCTATTCATCTTTCTTTTCAAGTGGCCTGTTTTTGAATTGGGGAAATAAAGATTATCATTATCATCATCGCCACCATCATAATCATCATTATCATCATCGCCACCATCATAATCATCATCATGATCGTCGTTGCCATCATCATCATCATTACTATTCCTTTTTTCTCAAGTTTACACCTGCTCCTAACTGGAAATTTTTTTTTGGAAAAAAAAACTCTTCATGATTGATTTGTACTGTGGTTCATGTTATTTATGATCTAATATATTATTAATTAATTAATTAATTAATTAATTAATTGATTAATAGTAATAATACATATACACACCTATTGATTTTTTAAGTATGTGCATTTATGTTTGTATCTGTGTTTTGTTTTATTTATCTATCTATCTATTTATGTATGTACGTATGGAAGTATGTAGGCATGTTTGTATGTATGAATATATGTATGTTTGCCATTAAGTATTTATGCGCGCGCGTGTGATGTATGTATGTGTGTATATTAAGCAAATTATAATGAAACCATTCCCTTATAAAGGATGCTGTATGTTTATGTGTGTGTGTATGTATGTGAGTGTGTGAGTGTGTGTGTGTATGTGTGTTTGAAAGAGAGAGAGAGAGAGAGAGAGAGAGAGAGAGATGGGCGTTGTATATTAGTTTCTATGTGTGCGTGTGTGTGTGTGTATGAATGTGTGTAATGTTTATGTAGTGTGCGTGTGTGTGTGTGTGTGTGTTTTGTGTGTGTGCGTGCGTGTGTGGTGTGTGTATATGCAATGTTTATGTAGTGTTTGTTTGTAGTGTTTGTAGTAGCAGCAGTGGTTAGTAGCAGTAGTAGCTGTAGTTGTTAAAATA